ATCTTTGTATAAAAACAAAGCTGACAGTTGTGAGACTTTATCAGAGGTGGAAGCATCACAGCAGATGCTTTTGTGTGGAAGTAACTGAGAAGAAAAGACAAAAACATGAAGCAGATTTTCCTGGCCTGGCTTTTTATAGCAGAAAAATATTCTGCAGTAGATGAAAACCATGAATCAACATATGAACATGACCTGATGCTGCTGAAGTGAAGCAGAGCAAAGTTACAGAGGTTTTATTAGAAACACGGCTGAGAGCAGTTTGGCATCATTTGTAAAAGTCTTCAGTATTGAACAGCAGAAATGAGGCTTTCTTGTCGGAGGTTATTTTTGCGTGATAATGCAGAAAACCGAGATTTGAGAGGGTAAAGTGGTCTTGAAGTACACAGAGACAGAAAGAGCTGCGCCGGAAGTGTGATTTTATCGTGATGGAAGCAAAAGTGCCAAAGTAAGAAGGAATAAATGATGTTTTTGATCTTCTTTTGCTGCTGGTTCAGTCAGTTTTGATCAGAGAGTGACAAAAACTGCAACTGCACACTTATGACTCTCTTTGTGTTTGCACAGTCTCGAGAACATTGGGCGAGTTAGTCCACCAGAGAGCTGTCTCAGGCTGTGTTATAATTCACTGTTCGGTGACTTTAATGATCCATTAAAGGTTTTAACTGAACCCAAAACACAGCAGCGAACATTTTCTCTCACTATTGATGTTGATCGGCTCCATAGGAATAAAATTTAACTGAATTTATCTGAACTGGATGTCACGCTCAACAAAAATGAGCAACAAGCACAGAATCAGATACAAATCCTGCTCACATCAGCACACCTTACTGTTTTCCTTTCAGTAACCACACTCCACGTGATGAGTGGTGCTCATCAAACGAGATGAGTGATTGTGGGTTTTGGGGCTCTAACAATGAGTGGGCGTGGCGTTGTTTCATGTGACTGTGCCCACGTCAAATCGGTCTTTTCCTGTTTTTGAAAGTAACACATTTAAAAATGTATCAAATAAGTGCTACATACAAGCTTCTTGTAAAATGAGTTTCAGGTACAACGCGATTAAATAAAGGTTTATAGACGCTTTCAGATTTAACCGCGCTTTTCCCTTCAGATGCTTATTTGGTTTAGGAGCTGATATTGCAGATCTGTTATTTGGAAATGTCACCGAGTCATTCTGAACCTACAGAAATCATGTGGTGCGAATGTAGTTTTAGCATCTATTTCCAGATTGAGACATCACAGGAAGCCGTCTGTCTTTAGATCTTTCCTCTTGGTCACATCCTGTTTGTACAGCAACCTGTGGCTGAACACGGCGAGTTTCCTCAGCTCAAATAATTCCTCGGCTAGAAGGACTCATTTAAATCAATGTTAGAAACTGTGTAGTTACAGGAGTCACGCACGTGTGTTTCAGGATGGGACCAGCTCTTGAGTAAAAGTATCTAAACGCTTTTGTGACTGCAATTATATTTTTAAAATTGTGTCATTGAAAGGACGTTTAGACACCAACTAACATAAAAAATAACATCTAAAAGTCAGAAATGAAGAAGAAGGTATCTGCTTATTCATTGAGACACCACAGAGACTGAACCTGTAGAAGGTAAAAATGATACCTGATTGAAATTTGGCAGCTGGCCCTGTAAAGGTCACCTCCTTCTGTTTGTGTGTGGCCTACATAACAGGCACACCAAACACAGTAACCCCGATTAGCAGCGGTCAGGCACTTTTAACGCGTTACTGTAATCCGATTACTTTTTTCAAGTAACGAGTAAAGTAAGGGATTACTATTGCAAAAACGGTAATTAGATTACCGTTACTTTCCCGTA